GGAGATGCCGACCTCCCAAAGTTTGCTGCCTGGAGCCCATTATAGGGGATCAATCTGTCCCCAGTGGATTTCCACCAGCCTGAAGAAGCAGGACAATACCACCTTCAGATCGGTAGACCAACTGTTGCCTACAAACCTGAACAGTACATTTCTTTTAATTTGCTTCCTTTTTATCTGTTTAATATTCAATTTGAAAATGTTTTGTTATAGCTGTTCAAGAAGTGTAGAAAAAGATCTGTTGATCCTGTCACAAATCCAGAGAGCTGATAACTTCCTGTGCTCTCTGCCTGTGCTGCACTGTTATCAGTTAGCACTGGTTTCAGTTCTTTCTCTGAGGACTACAGAACATCTTCTCCCATATTATGGAGTATAGAAAAGGGATAGGTGTTCTGTCAAAACACACTTCCTGTCCAGGGGTGGACTTGCAACTCATGGGGCCCCTGTGTCCTTTCCAAAACTCAAAAGAGCCTATGAAAAAGGTACCAGGGGCATGTCATGGGGCCCCTACCAGGGGCGGACTGACCATTTGGAAACTTGGGCACTGCCCGAGGGTCCGGGGTCAGTAGGGGGCCCCATGAGATGCCCCTGGTACCTTTTTCATAGGCTTTTTTGAGTTTGGGCAAGGACACAGGGGCCCCATGGTCCCCTATTGCCCGGGGGCCCCATGAGTTGTCAGTCCGCCCCTGCCCCCTACTGACCCCCCCCCGGGCCCTCGGGCAGGGCCCGAGTTTCCAAATGGTCAGTCCGCCCTTGTTCCTGTCCTATGCTGACAATGCTGCTCCTCAAAAAGATACAGTACAGAGCTTGAGCGTGGTCACCTTAGTGTTTTAATGGCAGGATCACCAGGTGAAAATAAAGGGGGAAAATCTGAAATAAGAAAAGTATTACAACAACCATATCCAAGGACTTGTAAGCTAAATGATATAAGATTTTGGGATATTAGCTACAGAGCTCAAGACAAGGAGAGCCAGTCCCTAAGGACAAGGAAAAGGATAAAAAGACAACCTACTCTGACTGACTATCAGATATGTATATTGGCCTGACTCTCATGTGAAAGTCAGACTGGCTTGAAAGTGCGCATCAAACAATCCAATTGTTGCAAATACATTATATTCAAAATGACAATCTGAGTCTGTCAAATTGTTAGTATATTTCAAAAACCACAAGCCCTCAGTAAACATTTGTCCTTACCTGAAAGACAATAGTGTGAATCTTTGCTTGGTCTGACCAGGAAAGAACCATTTGGTTTGGACAGGAGTAGGCTCTCTGCCTCTGCACAATCTACATCAGAAAACCAGCTGGGAAGAGAAAACATTAGGTGACCAAAGCATACCAACAAGAAACACAATATACATACGGGGGTCTGATATTCTACTAGTAATCACTCAGCTAGGGAAACTAGGAATTTTATTTTGGATAGCAAAAATTCAGTTTATGCAGTTTTTTTTTTAAATATATCAACGTGAGAGGTTGCTTCCTTACAACAAGTCTGATTTTCATTGGTCTCTGGTTCCTTTTAGCAATAAGTGTAATTGCAGGGGAGAATGGGGTGTATGTTGGAGCAATTATTATCATTATTATAATACATCATGGTTTGTAATTATTTTTATGTTTACCTGGCACTGTAACATTTGAGGTGGAACATCATTACTTTTGAGGAGGACCATCATTACCTTTGGGGTGAACCTTCACAACTCTTGAGGTGGACCTTCATAACTTTTCAGGTGGATCTTCTTAACTAATGAGGTGGACCTTCATATGTTTTGAGATGGACCCTCATAACTTTTCACTGAAAATTCATAGCGTTTCAGGTAGCCATTTCTTAACCCGTGAGGTGGACCTGCATAATGTTTGAGGTGGAAATTCCTACTACTTGAGATGGACTTTCATAACATATAAAGTAGATCTTCATAACGTTTGATATGAAAATTCCTAACGCTTGAGTAGGACCTGCTTAGCTTTTCAGGTGGACCATCATAACCATTTATGATGGATGGTTACAGTAGGCTTCAGAACGTTTGATATGAAAATTCCTAACGCTTGAGTAGGAGCTGCATAGCTTTTCAGGTGGACCATCATAACCATTTATGATGGATGGTTACAGTAGGCTTCAGAACGTTTGATATGAAAATTCCTAATGCTTGAGTAGGACCTGCATAGCTTTTGAGGTGGACCATCATAACCATTTATGATGGATGGTTACGGTAGGCTATCATAACAACTTCTCAAGCAGATCTTTGTGATGAAACCTCTCATAGATCTTAGTTTTCAGAGCATTACCAGTTCAATTATTAGTATAATGTTACTTAATTAATCATTCTCCAGGTCCAGGTCCAAATCTACATGCATAACCTACCTCTGCTCCTCCACTGACTTCTCTCTGACCAGGTAATCATAAGGCACGTATCCCCTTATAGCATCTCCTCCTGTCAAATCCACCTTGCTCACCAGCCAGAAATTCTTTTTCATTGAATGGACTTTGAATCGTTCCTTGGCTTTAATACTGATCTCATCCTTAGCCGTGGCTTGCCAGTCTTTTACACTCACGTATTTGTCAGAAATACCAAACCTTTTTTGATTCCTAAGATAAAAAAAGCAACATAACAATCAGATCTTTTCTGCTGCAGGACCAAACAGTATAAGCAGGATTTATATGTTTTCAGAAGTTCATGTTAAAAAGAATAATATATGAAAAGCTCGCCATATAAGAGCCACAAAACAAGATTGTTTCTACTGGTGGACCAAACAGGACAACCATGAATTATAATTTTTGAGAAGTTTAATTCTTTAGGAAGAATTCTAAATAAATATTTGGAAGCCTTCACTGTAAGAGATTTGATGAAGAAAATATTGTACAACTAAATTTATCATAGATAGCTATGCCTAAAAGTAGACCAATGATCCCAGGACACCCAACTGATACATCTAGCCATATAAGCCATTAGGTACTGTGGCTGTACCCACCCCATCCATTGCTTAAAACTGAGTAGGAGGACCCCTCATTGCGGTGACAACACAGAATGATCATAAAAAAATTCTCCTCACTCAAATGGCAAGAAAGAGCAAATTAAGCAGATTCCTATTGATTAATTTGAGGATTGGCTTTGTTGAACATTACTCAAATGTCTTGCTTTCCACAATCTTTTGAAATGTAGGTCGTTTATCGGTGTCCTCGTTCCAACATTCCAGCATTAATCTGTAGATGTCATAGGTGCACAGTGGTGGCATTGGCAATCTGTAACCCTTTACAAGCTTTGTTACCAGTTCATTAGAAGGTAGACCTGCAAAAGTATGGAGATAGTAATAGTAATAAAACAATCAGCCCCTAGCTTCTTGTATTCTTCAATAGTGTGCTTGCTCTCCCTGCCATAATTCCAGATGCACCAGCTCTAGGGATCCACCAGGGATGGCGAGAACCCCTTATGTTGGGAACAGCAGGTGTCCAGACCTGAAAACTCAACACAGAGATCCCACAAAAAAAAGTCCCAAAAAGGAAGGAGCAGCAGCAGACTGATGGGTCATCCCTCTGCCCCCACTCTGTTTACAATGATGTAAATGTGCAATGAAGATAAAAAGCTAACTGAATCTTTCTACTGTAAGAAAATCCAAATAAATTGCTTAAAAAAAACTAAATTCTGCAATTCCTATATCATCATTTCCTTTAGCCATATTTGATATTTTTAACTTTTGTCAGGATCCAAAGGAAGAGTAGCTTATCCCAGGGGTGATTATGGGAAGATGTCTTATTGTTCATAGTTGGGCATCTGCTAATAGATAGAAACCTCTAAGCAGGAGAAGGATATTACTCTCTGCTCCTCGCAAGACCTCCTACTCTCCAGCTCCCTTGTCTCCTCCTCCCATGCTCGTCTCCAGAACTTCTCCAGAGCTTCCCCCATCCTCTGGAACTCTCTACCCCAATTTATCAGACTATCGCCTACTCTGCTCACTTTTAGGCGATCTCTGAAAACCTATCTCTTCAGGGAAGCCTATCCTGCCCTCAGCTAATAATGGAATCTTCTACTCCTCCTACCAGTCCATCCCCCACAGTTACTACCTTTTGTGCCACTAGCCCCTCCCTCCTAGATTGTAAGCTCCAAGGAGCAGGGCCCTCCTATCCCTCTTGTATTGAACTGTATTGTTGCTGTATTCTCTCCCTTTATATTGTAAAGTGCTGAGCAAACTGTTGGCGCCATAAATTCTGTATAATAATAATAATAATAATATTTACCTTTATAAGGATACTGGCCCAGTGTGAAAATCTCATACAGGACAATTCCGAAAGACCACACATCAGATTTATCAGAAAATTCTGAATACTCTAAGACTTCTGGAGGCATCCATCTTACCGGAACTTTGTCTTTGTCAGGTTGATTTCCCTGGGTGGTGAAGAAACATTTAGTTGGGTTAATCAGGTGTTCTTTTTGGTCTAGTCTTAAAGTGGTTGTACAGGCAAAAACACAAAAACCTTTCCAATGGACTGCTCACTATATGGAGGGCAGGGGCAGACTTACAACTCATGGGGCCCCCGGGCAATAGAGGATCATGGGGTCCCTGTGTCCTTGCCCACACTCAAAGCACACCCAAAAAAAAGCCTATGAAAAAGGTACCAGGGCATCTCATGGGGCCCCCCACTGACCCTGGGCCCTCGGGCAATGCCCGAGTTCCCAATTGGTCAGTCTGCCCCTGATGGAGGTATAGGATCTTGGCTTAAGTTTCTTCTGAATGAGGGCTTGAAAAGCCCCTGTACATAATTTTCATGTCACGCCTGATAGTGATATGCAGGAAACCTAAAGAAATTTGAGTTGCAGAGAGGCCAGTATTACATGGGGGTCAGGAACTCCCTCCTGCAGAAATCTGGGTCATAAAAAGATTGGAGTGCAAAAATGTGATTCTCAATGATATTGGCCAATTGTATATGGAAGGTTGGAACCTCCCTCCCAAAGAAAGGATCAATTTAGCATTGAGGCTCGTTCTTTTGTTTTGGAGAATTTCTGCTTGAGTCAAACCTTTTTCTGGACGGAATGTCCAAACTGGGAGATTTTGCAAAGTAGGTTATTGTCAACCAGGATATTGCGACCAGCTAAATCAAGATGGTGCAAACGTTTCACTTCCAGGTACGCCATTGCATCTGCCACTTGGTGCGCTATGTACATGAGCTCTGCTTCCTCTAAATGAAGTCCTTCTTCACCTGTAGAGAAACGAGAGGAAACAATATTGAAATGGAGAACATTGCTTTTCTTTAGTCATCAAAAACAAATGTTTAAAAAAAAATGTTTCCCATTACGACCCCAGACCAATAACATCACCCTTAGGCTGACCCTAACACTTCATACTTCCTTCATCAAAGCCTTACAACTTAACCCAACCTTGCCCTCAGTACTTAACCTTTTTTAGCAGGACTCATTAGAGACCAGGGGCGGACTGACCATTTGGAAACTCGGGCACTGCCCGAGGGCCTGGGGTCAGTAGGGGGCCCCATGAGAATCCCCTGGTACCTTTTTCATAGGCTTTTTTGAGTTTGGGCAAGGACACAGGGGCCCCACGATCCCCTATTGCCCGGGGGGCCCATGAGTTGTCAGTCCGCCCCTGTTAGAGACCTAAGGCCGATGGAAGGAACACTCCTGGAAGTGTGTTGGATGAAAAGGATTCAACGGGCACTGTAAGAGTGAAGATCATTGCTATGGGTGGCAGGACGGTATAAAATCTCTTTTTTTAACAGGTGGTATTATTTTTCTAATATTTAAACTTGTGTCAAGGTTGCTGTAATGTAAGCTGGTCTTGATTTTGCTACGAAATTAAGAGTTTTACCTTTGTTCTTTGTATCTTTTCCTTTTTTGTATTTAGTCATTATTTGTATACTGTTGTTTAAATGTTTTATTTTTCTTCTTTTCTCACTGATGAACAATATGTAGAACAGGGGCGGACTGACAACTCATGGGGCCCCGGGCAATAGGGGATCATGGGGCCCCTGTGTCCTTTCCCAAACTCAAAAAAGCCTATGAAAAAGGTACCAGGGGCATCTCATGGGGCCCCCTACTGACCCAGGGCCCTCGGGCAGTGCCAGAGTTTCCAAATGGTCAGTCCGCCACTGTGCGTATTGTTTGTTGGTGAATCAAGGTACTGAAACCACAGGATCAGAATGACAACCAGAAAGCTAAAACTCAGCAATGGCATTCCTTCTATTTCCTTTAAGCAATGCTAAGTCATGGATGAAATAAAAGTAGAACCCAGACAATTGTAAAACACAATTTAATCCAGTTATATATTCCTTGCAAGTATCATTAGATAAAGGAATCTGCCTGGATGTCAGTCCTGTGTGTATAAGTGTTCAATCCTTTGCTATGAAAACTACTACTTCCATATATCTATTGTAAATGTGAATAGAACCTCGGCACTCTGGATACATAGATGATCTTTTTTTTTTTTAATTTCCTTTTAGGATTTAGTAAAGTGATGAGAGCACAGTTCCCAGTTTGCATATATATTTTGAAAAGCAAAACGTATAGGCCTGTGCAGTATTTCATTTTTCCTTCATTAGGCAGGCAGAACCATTCCGCACACTGAGGAGCCACCCCCTAGCTAGTTTTGTGTTCCACAGGAAGGCGCTATCTCCAGACACATTCTTACCTTCTGTATGGTATACTATATTGCCAAAAGCCCTTAAACACACATGACCTTTAATGACCTCCCAGTCTTAGTCCGTTGGGTTCAATATTGAGTTGGCCCCGCCCTTTGCAGCTATAACAGCTTCAACTCTTCTGGGAAGGCCGTCCACAAGGTTTAGGAGGGTGTCTATGGGAAGGTTGGACCATTCTTCCAGAAGCACATTTGTGAGGTCAGGCACTGATGTTGGGGGAGGAGGCCTGGCTCGCAGTCTCCGCTCTAATTCATCCCAAAGGTGTTCTGTGGGTTGAGGTCAGGACTCTGTGCAGGACAGTTAAGTTCCTCCACCCCAAACTGGCTCCTCCATGTCTTTATGGACCTTGCTTTGTGCACTGGTGTGCAGTCATGTTGGGACAGGAAGGGACCATCCCCAAACTCTTCCCACAAAGTTTGGAGCATGAAATTGTCCAAAATGTCTTGGTATGCTGACTCCTTAAGAGTTCCCTACTGACCCAGGGCCCTCGGGCAATGCCCAAATTTCCAAATGGTCAGTTTGCCCCTGATGTAGAATAATGAGGGTAATGAGAGGTTGCTTTTTGGTACTAGAACATGTCCAGGATAGGAGAAAGGAACTTTGGTAACACTCAGGAGCCATGCAAAGTCCTTTGCACCCTTAAAAAACCAAAGTCTCCAGATTGTTAAACTTTTTCACATCCCTACAGATGACAAAGTTTTCAATTATATAGCCTTTATAAGCTTTTACGTACATTAGTAACTTTTACAGCACTGTCTTCCCACCTCTCTTCTGTTGCTAATAAAAGTTTGTTGCTAATAAAAGTTCAGCCCACTGCCTCAAAAAACCCTCTACTTTCCCGGAATCAATGATTGTAATGCAGAATCAATATTTGTAACACAAGCCACCATGCACTTGACAGTTATTCAAAATGGCCCTTCCACCTCAGTCTGTATTCATTATGGTTTTCCGAAGGTCCATTCTTTGCAAACATGGCATTCACCAGGAATCAAATTTCCTGTTCGAGTGATTGGTTCACTGACTTTTGTCAGAGCTTAAAGTCAAAGGACTGGCAGGACCCCGACCATACCAACTTCATTGTTTATAAGGAACTTTCAAGGGTTTTACTGTTCTACTCACTGTGGAAAAAGATCTGAGCAGCAATATCGGTTATAAGAAACTTCCAAGGGTTGTTTTACTGACCGCTCAAAAAGGTCTGAAGGTCTCCTTTCTCCGTGAACTCTGTGACAACATAGATGGGATCCTGTGTGGTACACAGTGCGTACAGTTTGGCGACATTCCTGTGATTTAGCGTCTTGTGAATCTCAATTCCACTCATGAAGTTGTTGCTTTTAAAAAACTCTGTGAGGGTGAGATGGAGAAAGAGTTAATGGAATCATGGGTTCAGAATACTCTCAGTCGGTGACCATCTCCTGTCACTTGTTTGCAGTTTCTGACCAGGGGTGGACTGACCATTTGGAAACTCGGGCACTGCCCGGGGGCCCCATGAGATGCCCCTGGTACCTTTTTCATAGGCTTTTTTGAGTTTTGGCAAGGACACAGGGGCCCCATGATCCCCTATTGCCCGGGGGCCCCATGAGTTGTCAGTCCGCCCCTGCTTCTGACCATTTCCTCTGACCATTGCACGAAGTGAAAACCTACAGCAAACTACTTTGCAAAACGCCAAACAGGCTGCAGATGACATTGTTTGCCCCTTCAGCTGTCCTTCCTCCCTATAACATTTGCTCTCTTCCTCTCCTCACACCTGTCCTCTCTTCCTAAACTCTCTTTCCTGCAGCCCTCTTCTCCACCCCACAGCCTGTATATATCACCCTCACTTCTGTTCTTTCCTTATTCCTGCACTCATCAACTCCTCCTAATTCTCAGCCCACATGCTAATGAAGCCCCCAGGATGCTGAGGCATGCCACTTATAAATCGCACTCCCACATTACCTCCCTCACACCTTCTGCTTTTCCTAATTTCTGGAGAAATATCCCCAAACTTCCATCCTTTGACTGTACTGAACACACCCATAACCCCACACCCTCTGGCAGCAGCCTCAATCCACACAATTTAGTTTTCATTCCTCTTCTTCCCCAAAACCAGCCTCCCCTTCTCCTATGCCCTTTGGAATGCCCGCTCTGTCTACAACAAATTCACCTCTGTCCATGACCTCTTTTATCACTAACTCCTTTAATATATTTGCTGTTACTGAAACCTGGCTCCATGAATCTGATACTGCTTCTCCTGCTTCCCTCTCCCATGGTGGCCTTTTCTGGACTCACTTCCCCAGACCCAGAGGATGGAAAGGAGGTGGAATGGGAATCTTTCAAGCCCCTCCTAGCACCTTTCAGGTACTTCACTCACCTCCCTCTTTGATGTTCTCCTCATTTGAGGCACACTGTATTCATCTATTTTCTCCAATTTCTTGAAGAATTGCTGTAATCTACCGACCCCTGGACCAGTATCAACCTTCCTTGATGACTTCTCTGCCTGGCTACCAAACTTTCTTTCTTCTCAAATTCCCACTAAAATCTTTGTAGGTGACATCAACATCCCTGTTAATACTAATACTCCTGCTACTTCAAAACTTCAGTCCAACCTCCTCTTTTGATCCGATGCAATGGATACATGCTCCTACTCACTCTGATGGCAACACCCTTGACCGTGTATTCTCTTACCTATGCATTCCGTGCAACCTCTCCGACAATCCTTTTCCTGTTTCTGACCACCACCTTATTGTGATGGGAGTCACTTTGGGTGGGGGCCCATGGAACACAGCTCACTTTGGAGAGGTGGGGAGACGCCTGTCTCAGCTCCTCATATCCCTCTTATGTGTAAGTCACCCTGTGCCTGTTAGGGGTACAGGGTGATCTGTCCTAATATTGGGGTGTGGGGGTTGTGGATTGTTTAATGCTATGTGGTTGCATCCCATTGTTCTATTGTGTGTCTTGCTTGGGAGCAAACTATGAGGGGATGTATGTGTTTATGTGTATTGGCTTGGTGGGGGGTGTCTCCAACAGCCCTCCCTCCTGATGGGACTGTCTGCTGGTGTGTTTCTTGTTACTAAAGGTAGATTGCCCCACCCTGTGTCATTATGCAGGGAGGGGGGGGGTGCTTCCTGGCTGTGAACACATCCTAACCTCCACCGGGATCCAAGGTTTGGATAGCAGGAGAGGAGAGATACAGATACCACCCGCAGCTATGGAAATGGAGGTCTTATGGTGGATGCAGCAACTGCTGGCTTACCTAGACAATCCTGTTTCTGTACGGGATGAGTTTGGATGGAGGAATGCGTCTGTCCAACAGCTGGATGAGGGTATGGGAGATGGAGCAGTCGGCTCATCCCTCCAATTACAGATCCCAGAATGTATGGATCTAATGGATTTTTCACTGGAGGATGTTATGGGTGATGAGTCACCTGCCACAGTGCTGGCTCTGGGCCCAAGGGCCACCAGCCCATGCCCTGGACATTTGGCCATTCCAGAGATTGGGGATTTCCAGTCTCTGACCATCTCCTGTGGTATGTTTACAGT